AAGGATGGATGATATTCACCATCAAGTGTGTTCAAACTTGAAAACGTTTGCTGATTCCATGAAGTTGTCTTATGATAAGAGATGTACTGAAGTCAACTTTGAACCAGGAGACAAGGAGTGGTTGTATAATCCCAGGAAGATCAAAGGAAAGTCTTCTAAGTTGTCTTCTCCATGGGAAGGCCCAGATGACATAGTGGATTGTCTCTCAGACTTGACTTTCCGGATAAAGTGAGGTCGGCGAGGTAAGCCAAAAGTAGTGCATGCCAACAGGCTTTGGCGTTATCACGATCCAGGACATTTCAGTTGGGACGAAGTGAACAACAGAACAAATGACACCGCTGAAGACGTGTCACCTGAAAAAGCCAATGTTGAAGAAGAAACTCTACTCAGTTTGAGAAGAGAAATGGTGAAGCTCCTGATGTGACTGTTACTGACGATAGGACATTTCCTGATGAAGCAGATGAACCCCATATGAAACAGAAGACAACGAGACGGAGACCAGTACGGAAGAAGATACGTCCCATAAAATTAAGAGACTTTGTTGAATTGTAGTTTTGTTTTTGTAATTCTGTACATTTAATTAAGTTATTGTTAATTGATATTGGTTTATTGTAAGTGGCTATTGTTTGGGACGAACAATACTAAGGAGGGGGCAGTGTTGCGTCATCTAGGTCACGTGACAAGTATCACGCCACCTCCTTCTAGAAATATCCTGTTCCTTGTGAATTGTCGGGAGACTACTAGATTGGGGGTAGGCTGGTATATATAAGATGGTCACAATGGGACTGGATAATGAGTAATTGAACGGCAGTCAGAGAGTGTGTAATTGAACTGAGTATTGTTGAAGTCAAGCACGTGAGACATTTGTTGAGAATTATAGTGCGACTGTTGAAATTAAGTGTATTGCAAAGTTATATTCAGAATGAATGAACCAATTTTATTTAAGAAAGGACTTGTGTCGCTAAAGTTTTGTCGGAACGAATTTACGGAAAATTAACTAACGAACGGAGATATAACAATATATATATATTATTAAGAAATATATGTAAAAGTCATTTATTTCGACAGTTGGTAAAAAATCAGAACCCATATACATATACAATATTATCTTTAAATTTTGACAGTTACACTTTTTGTTTGTGCTCTCTTCCTTTTTTTTTGTTTGGAATTTCATACAAAATGTTAATATTTTTCTATTTCCTTTTTTACTTCACTTTGACAGTTTTCAGTGAAAATTTACTATTATTATTTTAACTTTTTTCTTGGTTTTCATCAGTTTGTGTCCACTTGAAAAGTGATATCATTTACTTCCTGTACAATTACATAGGTTTCATGTGGTGGTACTACACTGAGGAATTGTCAGCCTTAATTCCTTTGTGAATTGATTGTTATATGAGTTGAGCTATTCAAAAGTGCTCGAGTTTTGGGTCTTATTTTAAGTTTATTACACTTTATATGTGATCCTTTGTGCTAACTCTTATATCAAGATATCTAACTTACCTGGTCTTTCCACACATTGTATAGAAAGAACTAAATGTAATTCTACATTCAACCTGACTCATGCCCACTGTCTTTGGTCATGTTAACCCATTACACTGTCTCTTTATGAGGACTGAAGTCCATTGATTGTGCCTGATGACAGTGGTCCATGCACACTCTAATTCTGCTATTACTTCAAGTATAAGAATGCCAGTGAAAGCACCATTTTAGATATATTTTATCTCAAACTTTGCCTTAGACATTAATGATGGTGACACTGTCCAAATTAAATATGATTTTTGTTTTTTTTACTGGTTATAGTTCTTTTTGGTTTTAACCTGGTTTTATAAAAACAAACTGAAGACAATATTTTGTATGTACTTGCTTATCCAATTTTTTAATATATATTTTATTTTTCTCACTGTGTATTACCCAATGTTTTCTGCTGATATCTCTGATGCTTTGATGCAGTAGAATATCAACATGAAGTTCAATATTTTTATTTTCATTTTGGATAAAGAAGAAAGTCATTGTTGAGTTTTTTTTGTTTCAATGTGTTGTATGTCAATTTTTTGTTTGACTATAGAATTAGACATAAAATATGTAGTATTTATATAGCTTAGGACTGCTTACCTACATAACTAAATTTGAAATGTTAGGTTTATTAATCACATCATCATGTTTTAAGTTAGTGAACTGGGGGGACTGTATGTAATATTAACACTAGTTGTTATTTCTGTTAACTCTTTCAAGCTTTGTTTGATTTTAGAACATGTCTGTTCAAGTGAAAATGGAACATCCTGATGATCTACTAGAAGTTGTTTCAAAGTTCAGTTACAGTGATGATGAGAATCAGGATAGTTCGTTCTATAATGTTATGAACCTGACAACAGAAACTGAATTTCAAAGAGAGATTGAATCAGGGCTAGAAAGAACATGTGGTAAGTACAGACATCATCTAAAACTTAAGTTTCTTGACACTGGCTCAACACTTACCAACAGACTTGATTGGTATAACTGATCTTGTAACCCTATAGTAAACATAATAAAAAATACAAATACATAAGGGTTTTTATACCATATCTTCATGGAATTTTTTAAACATTAGTTGTATTTTGTACACAAAAACTTAAGTGTTTAATTACCTATATCTACTGAAAATGTGTTCATGAATATAGGGAGTTAGTGTGTTAACTACTCCAATTGCAAAGTGATTTTCTTCTTAAGATTTTAAATACTTTCTTCACCTTAAAGTTATTAAATTTCATTTGAGTAATCTCTAAAATATCGTAAATAAATATCAAATGATTTTTCAGTAAAATTATATTTTGTGTGTTATCTTATTTACATTATCTCTATACACAATCCTTTGATTTGACCAACCTTCTAATCACCATACAAAAATTACCAAATACAGTTTCTTTATGTTAAATACCTTAAAACTCCTAACAGTATATATCTATTTATACTTAATTTTAATTGTTTTATTGCCCTTACACTTGTGTCTAATTAAAAATCCAGCATTAGTTGTAAATCACCCGACAAATGTGTAACTTACGTTACTATATTGAACACATAACGTACAATATGTTCATGAGCATACTTTATGGAGAATTTTTATCATATTTCATTATCTTGGTTAACCTAACGAGATTGTGATTGATATATTTTAGTAAATTTATTAAAGATAAAATATAGAATGCACATCAAAAACAAGAAATATATCAGCTCTGACCTGTTGTTTTTTTTTGCTGTCAGTTGCTGAATAGGTTTAAGCCTACTTTTTTTAGACTTATAGTACAAATACATTAGATATTTATTTAATTAGATAATGCCCCTAAGAGTACAGAATAATAATACACGCAAAGCAAACAATGTTCCGTACTTATCATAATTTATCTGGATTTCTAAATTTTAAAGCTTCCATTATGCTTGTCTACCTAAACACCTACATAATCCTATTGCAACCGGACGTGTGTCAAAGACCTGTCATCTTGTTTGTTGACTTGCATTCAAAATTTTATTGAACTACTATTTTATGGATTTATGTCAATAAGTTTGGTATGAAATTTTAGATTATAATTCAACTTTTAGTATTATAAGTTAGTTAATTTATTAATTTAAAAGTAAATATTAAAAACACAGCTAAACATTGATATTTTGTGTTATATGGTATGTTCAATGAAGCACTGGTTTGAATTATATGTTTGTGATCCAGATAGAAAGTCTTTAGTTTTGAATTTTTTTTTGGTTTTATATGAATATTTTAAATAACCAAAAATAATAAATTACTATATTGATAGTATAGAATTCTACTATAATTTATCATGTGTAGTAACTAAGTAGCATTTGGGTCGAAAAATATGAAATTTCGAGCTCACTGAAGACTTATCGTTTGAAATATTGTGTGAAAAGAAGGATCTTACCGCAATAACACATCAAAATGGCTGACAAAACCACAAGGGTACATTCTGAGCTAGTGATTCATTATTCATGTCATGTATTGAAGTAAGTGTACATAAAGGAGCATTTCCAAAAATGGAAAGAAGTGAGCAGGGCCACTGTGTTTGATTCAATACAAATGATATCTTAGCATGTAGAAAACAAAAGAGGTTCTTATATTATATTCTAGTTTCTCAATATTGGTAATTTGAATTTCTAATTCGCATTTGCTTTTCACATCCTCCATGTGGGAAATTTCATAAGGCTTAGCAACCTACGACAAGCAGCAAACTAGTACAAAGGCGTAACTAGAAAAGATAATTATTTGCTCTACTTCTTTATTTATTGTTCTATGTTTTAAGAAAATAAAGTTTGAAAATGTATTCTTAAACAGTATTCATGTATATACATATATAATGTATAATTGAAATGTGACTGTATTTTACAAAATACTAGTCCACTGAAACACACCAAAGACAGGTCATTTTCCATTATTGGATATGGTATTGAGTGCATGGGGGCTTGCATCATTGTAACTTGTGTATTGTTAGCCAGGCATAGCTGGAAGGTCAATATAATGAAAAATAATAAAAATATATACAAATGTAATTTTATGACTAAACAATTGTGTTTTCATGTTATAATCTGTAGTCATTCTAGAATGACATAATTTATAAGTATTTCCTAATGTTTTCATCACCATGTCCATCTGCCACTGTTGAGGTGGGTTATTTGAATTGTAAGGTACGGTCATATATTCCTAACCCTCTCTGATGTTTTCAATGCCAGCAGTTCAGTCATTCAAAGAACTCTTGTTGTGGTTCTGTGACATGTTCTAGTTTTGGTGGCAAGGACCACGATGCCTATTAGTGCAAATTTGACCCTCATTATGTTAATTGTAGTGGTTCCCACCCCTCTTACTTTAGGTCTTGCCTTAAGTGGGTGGAGGAGAAGAATGTACACCATTTGCAGACAGTTAACAACATTTCTTACCCTGAGGCTTGGGTAGCTATTGGTTCCTACTCCCTCTTGGACATATGCCACTGCAGTTTGCTCCACTGCTATGGTGGGGGTGCAGACAGACCTTTCCGTGCCTCCATCTGTCTTTTTCACACCATGTGAGGGGTTTCTTGCCCTCCATGGAAATAGAGTTGACCAACTTACATCTACTCCAATCTCTGTCCCCACTATTCCTTCCAATGACTGCGTGAGTCCACCTCCTTGGCCCCTGATGTCCGCTCGGGTCCTTTTTTGACCCCTAGATGCAGGAATATCATTTGATCACATCCTCAGTCATTGGATTCCCAGTCTGATGACAGAGATCTGCCCACTCAAACAAGGGCAGGATCCATGGAGGTCGATCAACATTCATCTAATAAAGAAAAAATTGTGTGTATTTGTAAACCAAAGGGTTCTCTTCCACCTACATAAAAATTGCCACTTTGATACAGTGGAACTGTTGATGTTTTTATTCTAATCTCGATGATATTAAGGCCTTGATCAATTCCTATCATCCCATGTGTCTCTCCTTACAGGAAAGCTCAAAAATTAGCCAGGGATACCTGCCGACAGTATCCCTGTCTTTCTTACCGCATTGTTTATCAAAAGGCCCATGCCTATGCTTGATAGGTTTGACGTTAAAGCCAAAAGGAGTCTTGGATTTAGTTCACTACTAGCATTTCTTCTTCTTCTAGTTCCAAAACTGTATGGGACAAGATTTGGAAAGTCACTGGGAGGTTTGTTTCCCACCCCCTTTTCATCTTGCTCTCCAACGACCAGGAAGTTGCTGATGTCCAGAGCATTGCTGATGCTCTTGGCCACAGCTTTTCTCGTGCATCTAGCACTTTTGTTTCTTCTCCTGTCTTCTTGGCCATCAAGTCTCTGTCAGAGCAATCACCTCTTTCCTTTCAGACTGATTGTCTTTATGACTATAATTGCCCTTTTACACCAGTGGAACTCAAACTTGTTCTTCATTGGTCTGGTAGTACATTGGTCAGACCTGCACCATCTCTCGCTTCTGCTTTCCTTGCTATTCTTCTGGTTATTTTTAACTGGATCTATCAGGAGCACATTTTTCCTTGTGCTTGACACCAGGCTATTGTTCTCCCTTTTTCTAAACCTTGGAAGGATCCCAAGATTTCTTCTAATTATCTTCTCATCACTTTGACTAGTTGTTTTTGTAAGGTTTTAGAGAGGGTGGTTAATGCTCGTCTTTTTTGGTTCCTCGAATTCAACACACTCCTTTTGCCCATCAAATGTTGGTTCCATTGACAGCACTCCACCAGCAAAAAGAAGATGGTGCTTTCAATCTGCCTTCCTCGGATGACTCAAGGAAAGGTCGCCTCTCCATTACAAAGTTCTGAATAAAAATGGGTAAATAGCAATGCAACCCACAGGAGTGGAGATCCTGCAAAATGCCATACCTCCATGTAGTGTCACAAGCCTTCTCAAGATCAAAGAACACAGAAACAGGATGTTCTTTCTTGAGGAAGGCTTCCCTGATCAACGTTTAAAGTCGAATCAGATGGTTCACGAACATCTTTTGAGCCATTCTTCTCTTCCTATTTACATGCAGAATCCCCTCTACAGTTCCTGTGTTCACTGCCAAGTTGTATGCTATTTCTCTTGCCCTGGATCGTGTAGAAGCTCTGCAGTACAGTGATTGTACTATTTACACTGATTCTCTTAGCTCTCTACTGGTCCTGGAATCACTTAACATTAGTTCTCACCCTGTTCTTGTTGATATTCAACAATGACTGGCCCATTTCTATATCTTCTGTTTCCATCCAGTTTTTATGAATATCTGGCCACATTGGTATTCACCAGAACGAGTCCGTCTGCTCTGGTGCCGTTATGGCCGTGCCTGTCCCATACATGGACAATGGTCCTGTCTTCAAAGCACAACTATGTGCCAGTTTGTAGTTGACTTGGGGTGAGCAATGTCATAACAAGCTTTTTCAGATGAAACCTTCTGTTGCTCTTTGGACGTTGGACAATGTCATTGGCGATGATGACACTGTCCAACTTGATTGTATTTTTAATTTTTTAAGAACAATTGGCCTTTTTTAATTGCATATAAATCTTTTGTCCAAATCTTGGACATACTTTTGTTTTAACTTGCTGTATTTTAACATTTTACTACAATTAATTTTACTGTTTATACTGGTTGTTTGGAGCAGATAGCCTAGTTGCTTTCCACCATAAAACTCCAAACAATATAGTTATAACATGAAAATCATTTCGTGCTTGGACTGGTAAGGAAACAGACTCGATATTTGCATAAAAAAATCCATAATAAAATACTTCATTAACAAATAATTATTTTGGTATAAAAGACTTGTAATCTTTACTAAAAGTGTACCAACCAAATTTTGTGAAGATACACATACTGCATTAAAAGTTATAGTATAAATATTTGTGTATATTATACCGAACCCATCTTGAAAGGATTAAACCTAAATGTTCACACTGAACATGAAATATACAATTCTCTGTACTAAAAGCAATGTAATATAATATATTGTTTTAGTGATCAAAATAGTGGCTTTCTGTTGGCTATGAATAACTAGAAGAAATGCTGCCCTACACTACAAGTTTGTGCTAGTAATAATTAATCTTAGAATTAAACTGTAATCAAACCCTTGCATACAGTCCTGGTGAAAGTTGTTTTCTTGTTGTGAGGAGAGTACTTTTATTTAAAATTGTGTTATATTTTAAATAAATCATTATTGCACATACCACAGTTATTTTTGTAACTGTCTAAATCTTGAATACTCAGAGTGTGAATTCTTATCAATTTTTGTTTGTGGTGCCATTGAATTTGTGAAACAGGAATTTTGGTTAGATATGTAGATCCTGACACACATTCTGTATTCAGTATAGTAAGATCTATTTGCAGTATGAGAAAGAGAAGATGTGGTAGTCGGGTCTGATTTTTTAGAAAATAATTCTGTAACCAAATAATACTGAAGGCTTTTAGAGTAAGACTTTGCCTTA